TATAGGTTTAACAGTTAGCCTAGTTGTAATCTGATTTTCTAATCTGACTGGACAAGAGACTTTCTATTGATATTTCCTCCTGCGCGCGTTCTAGACGGGCTGTCAGTCAGTGCAGTTACAGTGTTGCGCCACAAGGTGGTGGAACGTGACTGTCATTCAACTACACGTTCAAAAACGCTGATTCATTCATTCAAAGAGAGACATAATGAAACGCGCTGTTGAAATCATTTTAACTTTGAGCGCCACTTTAGAAGGCTCAGCTGACCAGCTATGCGTCGATGCTAAGACAGAGATTTCGCTTTCCTTGAACATGACAACCTATTTTCACAAATATATATGACTCTGCCTGGAAGACAGACGCAAGTAATCGCACGCGCTCAGTCGATCTCTCTCTCATTCACTGTCTGTTTAGGCTTGTTAAGTGCAAATCTACGGAGCCTCTGTACAAATCAACATGGTACACATTGTGTTATCATTACTAACTTGTTTAATATTCAGTCCACATGCATTGTGTAAATCGAGAAGGGCATAACCTTACGAAAAAAGAAAACATGGAAAAATCGCGGTTGCTGCGGTTCTTGCATTCCTTTGCAAGAAGTTTGCTCGTCAATAGCGCAGTATTGCGGTTATCGCGACAGTCCTACGTTGTTGTCTGGTTGGGGGGGGGCATTCAAGAGGGCAGGATAGTGAATGGAAGATGGGGTCAACATCTGACCAATCTTCACAAACTATTTGGACATGCTAGCAGTTTTTCTAATGCTGAAGCATTTTCTTCCTTTCCTGAAAGGGCATCATGTTCTCGTGAGAACGGACAACACTACAATTGTGGCTTACATAAACCGTCAGGGAGGTCTCAGACCACTTCCTTTGCACACGTTAGCACGCAAATGGATTTATGTAGCAATGCCAATCTTTTATCCCTGAGAGCAACTCATGTACAGGGTGCGGATTTGCTGTCCAGGGGCAATCCCCTCTACAGGGAGTGGAAATTGAACCGGGAAGTGGTCGAACAGGTTTGGAGCATATACGGCAGAGCGCTAGTGGATCTCTTCGCGTCCCACGACAATGCTCAGTTTTCTCTGTTTTTCTCCCTGAAAGATCAGATCGCGCCTCTGGGGATAGATGCGCTAGCACACGAATGGCCTCGCACTCTCCTTTACGCGTTCCCACCAATAGCATTAATATCCCCAACACTTTACAGAGTGGGACTGAAATTGATGTTAATAGCGAGGTGGCCAGGGAAATATTGGCTAGCGGAAATCATACATATGCTGTACGAAGACCCGTGGTCTCTCCCACTGCAGAGGGGGAGATTTTTCATCCTCATCCAGAACGCCTGGCACTATGGGCCTGGCCTGTGAGTGGTTCAATTTAATACAACCGGTCTGTCTGACAGCGTTATTAGAACCATACAAAATCCTAGAGCTTCATCAACTAGGTCTCCTTTATGAATGCAAATGGATCGTGTTTAAGCGCTGGTGCGCAACTAAACACGAGATTCCCTTTCAGTGTTCAGTGGCAGTCGTTCTATCATTTCTTCAGGATTTGATAGACCAAGGGAAAGTGTTTTCAACCATAAAATGTTTCTGGCTGCTATATCTGCTTATCACATTGGTTTTGATAAAACTGTGGGGCAGCATCCTTTGGTATGCAGGTTCATGAAGGGCACGCGCCGGGCTTTGCCAGTTTCAAAACCGCTTTCCCCTTCATGGGATTTGGGATTGGTGCTTGATGCTCTTTCCATGTCCCCATTTGAGCCACTGGACAAGGTTGATTTCAAAATATTATATTAAATATTAAAATATGAAGACTGCACTGCTGTTAGCTTTGGCGAGATTCACGCGCTTTGCATTCCGCGTGTTTGCAGTTCATGTCTGGGGATGCAGGGGTAGTTCTGAAACCTAATCCTGCATTCATGCCCAAAATAGTTAATGCTATCATTACTCCTTGAGTTAAGAGCCTTCTATCCACCACTTTTGCTTCATCAGAACAGCAAAAGTTAAATGTATTGTGCCCAGTGCGTGCTTTATGCATTTATACAGAAAGAACCAGAGGGTTCAGGGAGAGTGATCAGCTATTCGTATCTTGGATGAAACCTCATACGGGGAAGCTGATTGCTAAGAAGTGTTTATCGCACTGGATAGTGGAGGTGATTTTGTTGGCAAATACCAGTAAGGGTCTTGTGTCCCCACCTGGTATACGTGCACACTCAACAAAGGGAATGTCAACTTCGTGGGCTCTTTCTAAAGGAGCCATGTTACTTTATTTGCGAAGCGACAAGTTGTTCCTCACCGCATACATTAAGGTTTTATAAACTGGATGTTACAGCTCAAACTTTAGCACATGCAATATTGAGAGTAGGAATGTGAGTCACGAGTAGGGTTGGGTATCGTTAGAAATTTTCCGGTTCCATTTAAATGATCTACCGTATTGGCCCGAATATAAGACGACCCTGATTATAAGACGACCCCCCTTTTTCCATATGTACCTTTTGGAAAAAAACGAATCTTGTTTTTTCTCAGTAAAACACATTTTGTTTTCAATTATTTTCATATTGCATATTTTTCCTATTTTAATTTGTTTTGAAAGTATGGTAAAAACTGGTCAAATGTACTAACAATCACATTTAAAAAAAATATACACTTTTTGATATACCATTTAAAAAAAAAAAAAAAAAAAACCGGTAGCCCATCTGAATTAGGACATTTAGGCCCAATCCCAATTCTATTTTATACCCCTTCCCCTCCACCTGAAAATATTCCCCAAAGAATTGGGACACCACTACTATACATCATACGTCGTCTAGCTCCTACAATACACACACATATGCTGGTGTGCATTAGAGCCTTTAATTACCATTCTATATTAATGCGCTGCTTACTGAGACAGACACTGACACAGACACACACACACACACACACGACTTTTATTAATAACAGTTTAAATACTGAATCGCTACATTGTATTTTCCAGCAACGAGAGGATAAAATCGCTGTTTAAGTAAACTCACTCTAAAAAGAGAAACGCACAGACGCGCATACACCCAACTTTCATCTCTTTCTCTCTCTCGAATTGGCAATATTTGAGAAAAGGGTTTAGTGATTTCTAATTATTGGGGGGACTAGCCCCCCTCGATGTCTACGGTGGTTATCGCCCTGATCAGACATGAAAATATCATTATAGACTGCACGATAGTGCCACAACATATGACGTTAGTTAGCAAATATTAGCGATTTTTTTTTGCAAACATTTCTTTGAGTAACATGACCGTAAATGAACTCACGATTGAATGTAACATAAAACAAATGATTACTTTTCGTTAAAATCATTATTAATGCCAAAAATGCTTACATTTGTGTCTTTTTGTTCACTCGGGCAGCCATGTTGCCGCTGAAGCTGGTTTACGCTGCGATAATTCATACCCCTTCGTTTGAAGTGTGGTCCCGAAAAATATTTTGTTTGAAGGGCTGTCTGGCCCTACCCCTACTCCTCCAATCAAAAGAGAATTGAGACACCCCTGCCCCTTCACGTGAACACGCGAAACGAAGGGGAAGGGCTAAGGGGTAGAATTGGGATTTGACCTTAGGCTATCCATCTAATAGTAGCCTACCAAAATCTTATTAACAGTAGAAGTTAAATATTACTGTAGTCTTCAAATCTGGGTACTGTCTTACGTTTTAAAATCACAAAGTGAGTTTGGTCCCATCAGGCAAACGTGACCGTCACGACTCATGCAGCTGTAAGGTTTTCTTATTGTTTTTACTCGCGATCATTACAACACGCATTACATTACGTATTTCATGGCACACTCGTTTTATGCGTATTTGGCGCCACCTATTGTTGTGGGTGTATTATTGTCATAGACGGGGTCAAGTCTAGACCCTGAATATAAGACGACCGTGTTTTTTCAGATGTATTTCCAAGAAATAGTCTTCAAATCTGGGTACTGTCTTACGTTTTAAAATCACAAAGTGAGTTTGGTCCCATCAGGCAAACGTGACCGTCACGACTCATGCAGCTGTAAGGTTTTCTTATTGTTTTTACTCGCGATCATTACAACACGCATTACATTACGTATTTCATGGCACACTCGTTTTATGCGTATTGGGCGCCACCTATTGTTGTGGGTGTATTATTGACATGTCAAAGTCTAGACCCTGAATATAAGACGACCGCGTTTTTTCAGATGTATTTCCAAGAAAAAAACATTGTCTTATATTCGGGTCAATACGGTATATTTTTTACCATTTTACCTTAATTGAATGTAGTGTTGCTGGAAGGTAGTAAGTAATGTTGGGTAATGCATGTGCTTCAAAGTTGATGTTTTTTACACTATCAATAACATTTTGCTTTTCGAGCAGGAATAAGCTGGTTGGCCAAATAGTCCCTTGAGGGCTAAGACACTTGTTCATTTCCATAAATTAATGAAATATTATACTTGTAACCATGTATACACACACTGCATTAAGCCACTATTTTACAAATAATAATGCAGTCAGGAGATGGTGTGATGCAATGAGTTGTTTCCACATTTTTAAACATTTAAAATGCATGAAAATATTTTCATTTTGACCTGTACACTAAATCTAACCCTCATACTTGCATAACAATAGCAGTCTATTTTTTTTTTTTTTTTTTTTCACTTGGATTTTGCCCTGGCAAAGCAATTTGTTGATGATAATTAGTCAACAGATTTAGAAATGCTCCGATTATAGCTTGCCTCACAACACGTGCATAGGAAACAAGACCCTGTGAATTCACCCCTTGTCTAGACCCTGAGAGCTCTAGAGGTGCTACATGGATCTAATTCTAGAATTAAAACCTCTTTCTCTGTCCAGAGTATCTTTTGAAGAAGCGGAGCACTGAACAAAAGTTCTTTCCTTCCTTCTTTTCCTTAGTAGTAGTAGTAGTAGTAGTAGTAGTAGTAGCAGCAGTAGCATATTTGTTTGTTTTTATTTTGAATGAAATTATTTTTTCCCCTTGTTCTGCCCCCCCCTTAGGTAATTGACTACAATGGTGAGAGAACACTAGAGGGATTCACAAAGTTTTTGGAGAGTGGAGGAAAAGAAGGTGGGGCACCAGCAGGAGATGATGAGGATGAAGATTCTGATGTATGTATGATTTGGTTGCAGTTTAATTTTTCTTCAATTGTTTTGTTTAACTTCATTGAATTGTTACATGTTCATACCATAAGTATACCATACCATAATTTCAATTGAAAATCTGGCAGCTTTGACCACAGAGAAATCGGTTTCTGCTTAGTTTGTTACTTCAGTAATTAAACTTTTGGAAGTGTTATGCATGTGCACTTAAAGGAGTTAAAAAAAAAAGATACAAATAAAATGACCTAAAGCTGATACTTCACCAATAGTTGGATACAATTGATTGTAAGCTTGGAGAGTTTGCTTATGGAGCTGCAGTTTTTTGCTCTCTTGTGGGCATTCCTGGCTCTGGTCCTCCTCTGCAGGGGGTAAAAGACCCTGCTGCAAATCTGTCGGACAGGCACTTGCCAAGAGCCTGAGTGATGCAGTCCATTAAAGTGGCCCAGTTTCTCCTTCAACCTTAAAGTTTTGGCTTAATTTAGGGAGATATTTAGCAAGCATTTACAATGATTAGATTTTCAGTTAATTTATCAGATTCTTGATGCTGATTACCTTAAGTTCTGACACCCAAATGAAGTGTCCTAAAAATAACTGCCTACTGGATGACCCTTTGCTACTGAAGATGGAAAAGATAAATATTTGACATTTTTATCATTCGAACATAATCAGTAGTTCATTTTTTACTGCATGATGGTCATTGCCAACAGTTTCATCTGCACCAATTAATATTAATCCATAAAGTATGCAGGTGAATAGAACTGCCCCTGGAGTAAATGTTCTCTAGAAATGTTTCCTTGCTCGTTTTGTAGTCTGGGGTACTGAAATAGAGCAGTGCTTCCTTGAGTCTCTCCTTAAAAGCTTGATGTGAACCTTCTTGTGAGGTCTGCTTTTCAAGTATTTAAAGTTAGCACTGGGTGGGTGTTCTTCCCTAAATATTTAGAGAATATCCAGACTGTAACAAGTCTATAGCCTTATATATTTTTTGCACAATTTATTGCATTAAACAATCGGTTGTCAAAATGGTGAAAAACGTTAAAACACTGAATAGTCTTCACTGTATGAATTAAATATACATTGAATAATTTTAGTAGCTTTAATTGCATCAGTTAAGTAACATTAATGGCACTGACAGCACTAAAGACATACCAAATGCATGGATCTAATACTTATACATATCTGATTATTTTCCCAGCTTTTTGTTCACTTAAGACATAACTGACTGTCTTCATGTAAATACTTGCTAAAATGGACATTTTGTGTATATTTGACTGAGACTGAGTGAAACAACATGGACAAGCAAAGTACACTTGGAGTTTCAGGTGCATGCTTAAATGGAGTGTGCATGCAGAAAGCACCTGGGGAAGTAAAGAAATGGCATGCAGCACAATGATCAACCTTTCATAATCAGTGGAAGCCAAAATTGAAACAAACTAAAATTTTATTAATTGCACAGCCCTACTCCTAGCTTGCATTGAATTGTTTTGATCACGTCACATGATAGAGACACGTGATATAATTTGGCCAGGCAGCACCGCCATCTAATAGGCAGTCTGCCTATTCTGTAGTTTTAATATTAGTAGTGTTTGACTTGAAGCCGTGCTGCACAGACCAATTGGTGCTTGACATTACCGATTATTACGTGGACTTAAAAAATCACAGTCTCAATAATTCGCTTGAAAGGTAGATTGTGATATGGAGATTAATCGCACTATAAAATTGTGAGGTCACCCACCCGTAAGTTGGCATAAGCAAACAATAGTTATGGTTGTCAGTTACTAAATGCCACTAGACAAGCTAAAACTACCAGTATTTCAAGTGAATGGGTTTATTAGTTAATCATTTTTTGTCTTGCTGGCTTCACTGATCTCCAGATCATATTAGACCAATGGCCTATTTTTGGTTCATTCTAAACCATTTGGCTCAAAGATTCAGAAGTTTATCACATTTTTTTTAGGCACAATCCAGGACCACAGAAATCCATCCAGAGGAATGCTTCTAGGAAGTTTAAATTTAGAACATTATCATTGCCACTAATGCCCAACACAGCTGTTTACCTTCCATTTCCCCCCTCCCCACCACTTAACACCACCACTGACAGGACTAAGTCAGTCAACACTAGCTAGTCTGCACGTCCCAGCTATGAGGAAAGGACTCTGCAACCGAACACTGCTGGTGATAACACGTCTCAGCCCCTGTGAACTCATGTCGGTTGCACTTGTTTTGCTGCAGGGATTACTGGCATGTTTGTGGCAGGGCAGGTTTGTTTTGATGAATTGCAGTCATGCTAGTACACATGGCCTTCTGGTAGGGATGACCATGATTGTGCTTGAAAACATTTGTTTTGGTGGGCAAATATCCAAATTGATGCCATTGCACTAAAATGTTTTTACATGTATTCTAAGAAGAATATCTTACTCCTTCCACAGGATCTGGATCTTGATGATGCAGAGGATGATTCAGATGTGGAAGAGGGACACGATGAGTTATAAGAGTCAGGAGGAAAAGGCGAGACAAACCCCTTCACCACCACCACCTCCACTTTAAACCTCCCTGTCTGTGAACACTAAAGCTTTTCCTAACTAGTCGAACAGCCACCGGGCATTACAGGGTCTTCTTTCAGCCAGTTGTCATTACCAGTCCAGCCCAACCATCAGCAGCCCAGAGAAGTGCCTCTCTGCCCACAACGACTTTATCTCTTTGAAGTGTTTTACTGTACAGTTTACTTTTTGCATTAAATTGTATTAGGTTTTTAGGTTAAATTCTAATGGTAATCTGTTGAACTGCTCTTTATACCTGCCCACTACCTCCTTTTGTGTTCCGGAGGCTCAGTTGAAGATTTTTTTGCAGTATAATACTGGAAATACTCTCCTGATGAAGGAGGGGGAAAGCCAGTTATTCTGCCTTAATTCTGTGATATGAATGAGTGGACATTTCAGGGCAGAGGGGGCTGTATGTCATTCACCTTTGGGTGGAAATACAATTATAATAATGGGCTGCTCTTACAGTGTGAACAAAATTTAGCAGACGCCAAACTGAGGTACCTTCCCCGTTTCATTAGTCAAACCACATTTTCGTATTCCTTTTTAAAGATGTAAAAGTGGAGAACTTGTTTTATTTAATTTTATATTTCAATTATTTTCTTTTTATTAGCTTCCATACTGAAGGGCCCAGAAACAGCACTTTTGTTGAATTACCTGGGGCAGAGTTTGCCGATGTGGGATGATGATTTGAAACCTTGTTTTGCACTTCATTCAGTGCCATCAGAGATTCCATATCAGTTACTGAAATGAAGATTTACCATCTTGTAAGGACAATAACTCTCCCGTACCCTTCCTGCTTTCCATCACTTTAGTGGAAGATTCCTTCCCCCTGGAGGTATAATGCTAGTTGACGACGTCTGAGTGGTCAGTGTGACGGGGAGGAGAAAGTGTGCTTGTAACCAACTTAATCAGTCTTTTCTCCTTATGCCAGGGTTCAGGGTTGTACGTGTCTATGATTTGGTTAACCCTCTTGTTGTCTGTCTTTATATTTCTAGGAGCGGTGAATTTCAGGGGTGATGTTTAAAGAAAGGGAGGGTTTAGGAATTCAATTGAGAGGGATTTGGGTTTTGAAATTTGTCAACATGTTTGAGACAAAGCATTCCATTGCATTGAAATTGATAACGAAAACTGGTGGCCAAATAAACAACAAAATGGTAATAAATGTGTTTGGTGAATTGTATTTGACTATTTTTATTTTAAAATTACTGATTCAGTCAGTTGATAAGACAATTCAATGTGGTTCAGTAATGCATTAGTAAATCAAAGACCTCATAGTGGTCATGGTTGTCAAGCTAAAATGAAGAACAACAACACAAGTTATGCAGCCAAAGAAAAGAATGGGTTTTTGGAGCTTTGCCAGAAGGGAATATAGAATGAAAAAAAATGACTTGTCTTGTCATCCCACAAAGCTATTATGTGACTTTAAAACTGATAAATTCTTTGAACTGATTGTACTATATTTTCATAGTGCTTTTTTGGAGCTTGACTACAATTGCCATTGAAAGTTGTCCTAAGAGCTGCATTAACATGTTGACAAAAAATACAGTTTGTGGGTTTGGAATGACATGAGGTTGAGTACATGATGAAAGAATTAAGGTTGTTTTTTTTTTGGAGGTGAGCATTCAATGTCTCACTGGGTTTTTACCGTTTCAAATAACTTATACCCTGTGTTATACCCAGAACATGGAGAAACTTCTGGAACTGTTAGTAGGGGCTGAGTAATAATAGCCCACAAAATAGAACGTCTGCTAGACTTAAACTAGAAATCACTGTAAGGCCTGCTGTCAGGAATCATGACATATTAATGTGATTAAACGGTCATCTGCAAATAGAGCAAGAGCATCTTTTTGCTGGCAGCTAACTTGGATAAACAGCCAGGCTGTTTATTCAAGTGTTATTTTAAACTTCTAATTGTGACCATCAACTTGCCCTTGCCTTCACGTTTGCCAGGCTGTGCCTATAAACCATTTTTATACCCTATTCATTGTGTACTAAAAATTAATGTTGGCTTCCCTGCTGTGTGGCAACAGGAGCTGGGGTGGGGGAATTTATCTGAAGAGGAGGAGAAAAGGCCTGGTTCAAATGTGGTGTGTGAAAACAAGCTGAGGTTAAGGATCTCATTGCTAAGTTGGCTGAGAATTGTAGAGGTGTGACTCCAGATCACTCCCACTCGTCTTCCAATTCAGACATCTCCGCTATGAGATGACTGTCTCTTAATATAGTCTAGTGGGGGGTATATATAGGGTACACATAGAGCCCTGACTTCAGACAAACTTCTGAACGACTGTCTAGGAAGGTGCTCTACATCAAGAGACAAACAAACAACCAGACAGACTGAGAAGCTGCAGTCATCAAGCGGCACCTTGGAAAAGAAGAAATTCTGAAGACCTCTGATTGTGCTGAACCTTTTAGCCACATTGAGAATTAGTGCAGAATTTCTCATCCAATCATTGGAACAAGAACATTAACAAGAATGAAGTACTACCAGTGTCCAGTCACCCAGACCATGCACTATGAGGGGTGCAATCCAAATGACACTAGACCAGTGTCATGCTTTCATTCACGGCCTTATATCAAATCTGTTCGCAATGTTCACTTTCCTAATGACATAGTCTTTCAGGATTATGTCCGTCAAGGAGAGCTGGAGAAAATCGGACGCTTCATTAGAACCAGAAGTGTGAGTCTGGACACCATCTACCATTCAGGTAGGAAAACCAACTACTTGTGGACTTAACTGAGTCAGCTATGGAAAGTAAATCTATGCTTAGTCTCAACTATATACTCTGAATGCAAGTAATTAAAATGCAGTTATGCATTCCCTGATCTCTAATAAAGGCAAGATATCCTAATAATCAGCAATGCCATTTTTGTCTAATTAGTTTGATAATATAATCCAAAGTGTCTCAAGCTTTAATCTGATAATTGAGCTGTCTGAGCCTGTCCTTTAACATTAACTCCTTGCTGATTGTCCAGGCATGGCAGCCATTCATGAAGCAGTCCTATCTGGAAACATGGAGTGTGTGAAGCTTCTGGTAAAATTTGGGGCTGACATCACCCAGAGGGATGAGGACGGATGGACTCCCCTCCATATGGCCTGTAGTGATGGCTTTCCAGAAATAGCTAAGTAAGCACATTTCTTAATTTAATGTATTATTTGTAGTTTGGTAAACACAAATTAGAACTGGACATTTAATAGATTACTACTATTTATAATTTAGACAAGCCTTTAGTTGTGATTTCTAGCTTTTTTTACTAGTTCTCTGTCAAAGAAAACATGAAAGGCAAAGTGTTTCAGCAAAGAAGCCTTATCAAAAAAAAAAAGACAGATTGAATGAAAGCATTTACCAGCTATATTCTCAAGCAACTTGTGAAAGATTTAAAGGTAGTTTTTCTTTTTGTTTCAGGTACTTACTTTCTTTGGGTGCAGACACTGACGCTGAAAATGACTGTGGGGAGAAGCCTGCTGACCTTATTGACCCAGACAGCAAAGAGCTGCTTGAACTCTTCGGGGTCGGTGGTGCCTGAACTTGCCTGAAACTGAAGTTCTGATTACTCTCGTCTGTTATGGCAGTTGCCACATTAAAGGGATGAAACCGGTAAAGGAGTGGAACAGCCACTGTGTATGCATTGGAGCTGGCAGTTGAGACACCTTGACAGAGTGTCTGGTTATAATTGTCTGGTCCTGTGCATTTGGACCAATGACAGTGATTAGGATGTGAGATGCACTTGCCTCCACAAGAAGGAACTGTTCCAGTGTAGACAATGCAGTGTGTTCTTGCTGTAAGCTAATGACAGTCACAACAGGTTTTTTGTCAATTTGTTATAGTTAACACTTTCTATTTTAAAACATGATTTTTAATTCGCAGATCAATGCACTATAGTGTGAGTTTGATAAATAGCTCACTGTGATTGTATGTGATTTTTTTTACCCATTTACATATAAAACAAGAAATTGTACAGAAAGTCTTAATTTTATACATGTATGGATTAAATGTTTTTATACCTAAATATACATAATGATGTCTGTTTTATTTTGGCTGTTGTCTGTGTCCATAGCTACACAATATACATAAAATAATAATGCATTAATCTTCAGGATTAGTAGTAAATCCCAACAAAAGTGAAATTTTATATGTACATAATTAAAATAAAAATTTGGTTGATGGTATTAAAGTTAAACTCATGTAAAATATCTAGGGGTTGATATCTGCAGATCAGATTCAGACCGTATCTATCACAATTTTCAGCCAAGGTTAGACAGTATTAAAAAGATTTTATGTTGCTGGCTGCAGAGTGAATTTATTGGAGAGTCCTGCTGACTAAGGCTGAGGGCATATCACACCTAGTTTATCCTGCTTTTTCCCTTTGTGTTGATCAAAAAACTATTAAATTTATTAAGTCACTGCTATTCCGCTTTATTTGGAAAAATAAGACGGAATGTGTTCAAAGGACTGCTATGATAAGAAATTATAAGGAGGGTGGTCCTAATACTTTAGAATTTAAAATCATTATCCAGACTTTCAAAATTAACTAGATTAAGAATTGTTTATCTAATGAGTTACCCTGGTTTTGAGTACCTTTGTTTTTTATTGTCCTGTAACTGTCCTGGAAGATTGCTTTTAAACATCATCCTTCTTACATCCATAGCACATGTGTATTATTTGAAACAATGAAAATATATTGTCTGGTAACAAATTACTTTATTTGTGTTATGGCTGTTTAAACAATCATTTCCAATGGTGTTTATGTATTAGATAAATAATGCACTAACTTCTTTATTAGAAAATGAGCAAGAGGGTGGCTAACCGCACACTGATTGAGCACTGAAGATAGCAATGTGCTGAAACGTTTGCTTGCTTGCTCGTGTCCATTTTTTTAATTCACATGCACTTTTGCACAATGCAATTTATAAAAATTAAAAAGATGTTTTTGTAGATTTTCTTGAGTGGATCAGTGTGCGGTTAGCCACCCTCCTGCTCATTTTCAAATATCCTACTGGCTCTACGCACCTGCAGTACAAGGAACTATTTATTTTTTTTTATTTTTTTTGGAGCGCTACAATTTTCTCGACTTTTACTAACTTCTTTATTAGAAGCCCCTCTAAAGCACAATTTAAATGGAGGATATGTTATCCAAACTCTGAATTGAAAAACTTGTGGACCTTTCCGACTTTTTATTAGAAAGTAAAATGAAAGAACTCCATTTCAAAATAGTTAATAGATACTACCTTTGTAATTTATTCTTGAGCAGGTTTTCTGAGAATATGTCTTCGTGTTCATTTTGTAATATTGATGAAGAATCTATTCTACATCTGTTTTATCATTGCCCATTCGCCAAGTCTTTTTGGTCAGAAGTTATCATGTTAATTTTTGCAGTAACAATGACAGAACCTATCTTTTTTTTTGTCAGATTTTCATTCTAAGGACATTCATCTTGAACATATTGTATTTTTGCTTTGTCTTCATGGGTAAATTTCACCTTCATTGTAAATATATATAAAGTTCCATTTTACTTCTGCTCTGTTTAAAAGTTGTTGTTTTTCTTTGTTGTCCATATATGCTGTTGATTTGTGTAGCTCTAAGCTTCATGCGATGTTGTCCGTTTGCCTTCTGCTACTTCATAACTCTTGTAATATTTTCATTTGCAATAAATAATAATAATAAATTATATATTGGCTTCAGACTGGCAAATGTAGGCTATTATGCAATTGATCTTTTTTGGAATCCTAGCACTGTTTATTTCCAGTGTAAAATCAAACATTTGTATGCCACTGTTATTGAATGATATATTCTATATATCTATATAACGCATAATATTTCTGAAAGTAATGTGAAAATCCTTCTGAAAGGCAAGAACGGGGTTGACAGTTGACAGTGGAAGTGCTCTGCTGAACGAATCGCTAATGTGCTGTACCCTGGGAAGTCGTTTACGCGAATCGGTTCTTTTGAAACACGTGATAACCGGATCAATAAACCGATTCAGTGATTCTTCTACGGTTTCATATGTGATTCAGCTTATAGAAAACAGTCAGCATTTTAAGTACTACATTTACTTGACTCATTAAATTTTTTCCCGTTAAATTCCAATTAGCCTTACTGTCAGTGCACTCATTGGATTTCAGCTCCTTTAGGAGTCAGACATGTCTGCAAGCGCACGCACACCGGTCCATCTATTTCACATAAAGAAGTGGCATCGTTGTATGTTGATGGCAAACCGATATTTGTGATTCATTGAAAAGATCCGATTCAAAAGAATGATTCGTTCTCCAATCTGACATCACTGATTGTGCTAGACACAACTGAACACAGCGGTGTACGTTGTTTTGATAATTGTTTTTTGGCTGGGACAAAGGATTTCAACGCCACTTTGTAAGTCTCGAATGCGCAAAAGTTTTAGTCACATTAATCGTAATATATTAGTTACGTTAAATCGATCCCTGGTTTAAGCATCGAGTTCTGTTGTGTTTTGCCGAGGGTTGCTGTTATTTGACGTTAGCTTGCCAAGCTAGCCGGATATCAGTCGTGAAAATATTGTTGTTATGGGAAAATATGAAGACAGATTTGCTATTTGAATGCTATATAACGGCAAATTAGTGTTTGTGAGACTGACCATAAAACTCCGCTTGGCGTAGTTAAATACCGAGCTAGTTTGCTGTGGTAGTTTGAACTACAGCTATAATTAAATATATACGGTAAGTTTAGGAATAGACCGGCTCTAAAAGCTGTTCCTACAGTTTTTAGCCAGTTTTATTGAGATTTTAGCCACCTCTTTTTGTGCTTTTGACACTTCCTAGATAGCACACAAATAATCAGGGAACTGAATCCGTGTTGCTCATTTAATAATAGAATCTTTCACAGTGGGCCTGTCACTTAAGTGTTTTAAATTTGATTTAATAATAGTAAACTGTTGTGTAGGGATTTTGACAGTGTCGTGGGCAGCTCTCCAACTTTAAAAATGGTTCAGAATTATAAGCAGACGTCTGGAGCCTGTTCCCCAACCAACACTGAAGAACTACTCACACCAGCACATGAGGAAAATGTGCGATTCATTCATTACAGTAAGTTGCCTCGTGAGAAATCTTTTCAAATGTCAGAGACCCATCAAAAATATCCTATTTTTAAGAGAGGAGTATATTTGGGGGGAATTAGAGTTTTCTATAACATTAACTCTTCTACCAACAGCTTGGCAGCGTGTCATGAGAGAAATGCAGACTTGCCAGGGAAGTGAAAACAATAACCAGGGACCTCAGAAGTATGTGGAGAGGACGCCAAACCCTGCACTAAGCTGTATGTAACTAGTTTATTTGTTCTGAGGATTGTATTTTGTTGTTGAAGGAGAATGATAAATAATAACTATTGGTTGAAATATTTGGCTGTTTGAACAGCTATATTTCAGCCCTTATCTTGCCAATGACGATTTTTCTTAAAGGGGTCATATGATGCGATTTCAAGTTTTCCTTTCTCTTTGGAGTGTTACAAGCTGTTCGTGAATAGATAAGATCCCTGAAGTTGCAAAGACTAAAGTCTCAAAACCAAAGAGATATTCTTTATCAAAGTTAAGACTCTGCCACACCCCCCTAAAACGGCTCGTTCTAACACGCCCCCACATATCTAGGTCACTATGTGGGAATATTTGCATAATGCGCCGAAATGTTTCAGTAACCGCAGTTAGTGTTGAAGCAGCCATGTCAGGGAGACGCTGTTTGTTTCTAGGCGAAAGCAAAAGCACTTTCAGGGCTCTACAGCGCGACTGAAAACTACTGCGTGCGACTATGAAATAATATTTAGGAGCACCACTGCGACTGACCCGGTCAGCATATTTGCGTTTGCGCTGAGGGAGCTTCAAAGGTTCTAATATACGTACGTGTTTCTGCAGCATTGAGTAATGCATCACAGACATATCCTCTCATTATAACAAACAAAGTGTTGACGGGGTGTAAATAAGATATTCATTGTGCAGTGTAGAGCGCTTCGTCGATTATAATGGAGTTTTGTGAGATCGGGAAAAACTAAGATGAGTGACAGCTTTTAATGATTATTAAGGGAGTTTATATTGATTTTATTATTGATTTAATACAACAGTTCATTATAGAAAAAGTTTTAAAAAAAAAGGACCAGCTGAGCCGCTGCGCATCGCCATTCAAACACAGCGGTGATTCGTTTATGAATGAACTGCGTTTTTAAACGAATCTAGTGAGTCAATGATTCAATTACCCATTCATAAAGACGGTCATGTACTTCGTTCCTGAATGATTCAGCTGTTTGAATGAATGATTCAGTGATAAAATCAGTGACTTGACGCCACCTGCTGGCAGATATAGTTTAATTTTTAAAGCATCTTTTCTGTTATTTAAATCATTTCTATATTCAAAATGTTATATTTAAAACATTAACCTCAACATGAATTTATGAATTTAATTGCACTCATGCGACCTCCGAGCCTCATTAAACGTCTGAAAATACACATACAAGCCACTTGAGTGTTCTTCTGTGCCATCTCTGGAGCACAAATTTATTTCTTAAATACTGATTTCATTTGATTGGTAACTTATTCTTATTCTACTTCTTATTCTACTTGTTTTTATTCTGTTGTTTTAATTAGAAATGTTAAAAAGCTTATAAATATATATTTAAATTTTGACATAAAAGATGACTTACTTTTAATAAAGTTAGAAAAATGCCATTACAAAGGTAAAAACAAAATTCCCTATAAATCACTTTAAGGAGTCAA